AAAATTTCTTTTAGACTCCTATCTTGGCATGGATCAACAGCAAGAGTTGAAATTGGACGTTAAGAAAGCGCCCGTCCCACCTACAGATCACCCACAATGGGACCTTAGTGAATCGGAGCCCGAAAATAATGAACAGCATGACAACTCTAGCGATTTCACGACTGATAGTTCCGAGGACGAGGGTACCGACTAGATATATTAGAATGCTAGAATTTTATTTTATAATTTTATCATGTTTTCACAATGCTTTAGTTCATGCTTTTTATATTCTTGGTTTACAAATTCTTACATCCTTATGCGTTTTGAATTGATTGGAAATATGATAATAGGAGTACTGTCGATATGATTCCATCGACCTAACACACATTAACTAAGATTAAGAATAAATTTTAGGAACATATAATTGATATGGTTTTAGTAAAAAATACTTACATGTAGATACATCTATTTGAGCATTTGTCAAGAAAAATTAAATGAAATTGTAAAACAGACTACAACTTTTTTTTAAATGGTAGCATTTATGCTAGTTTTGTATTACTTATAAAATCCAATTTTACAATTTGAAATCAACACAGTAAAAGCAAATATTGAAGGTGTTTAATGATTAAAATTTATAACAAATGGAGGCAATTACATTCTTGTTTAATATTCGACTTTTGCCGGTGATGATGGTCGTCATTAGTGTAAAAACATAAACGTAAAAATAAATTCACAGAAACAAAAATAAAAAAGAAATAAAACTAAAGCAATTGTTTTTCTCCAAAACCATGTTGAGCACTGGTTAATTGATGAACCACCGCTTCAGAATGAGCAGCTGCACGTGTTTTTACTCTCAACTAAGACATCCTCCAGAAGAATACCGCAACCTCTTGTTGGGATCTACACATTTTGCTGCTGAACGAGCTAGCGAAAGGTAAAACAAAAATATACAAATACCTTCATACGCATTTTGAAGTGAAAATAGAAATTAATATCATTTAAATTACGATAAGCAGTGAGGGTTTGGACGCGGTACTCGGAAGAAACCTGGAAAAAATTCAAGCTGTTACAAATTCTATAAACAAGGAAGGATTACTGTGATATACTGTGAATGGAAATGAAGCATTAAATTAAGTTAACGATGTGCTAAACAGTCTGCCGCTCCACGAATTCTATTATTGTAAATACATATTAATCATTCTACTTATTCTTTTTCTGGGTCTTCTTCGCTCGCTTCAGTTTCCTTTTTGTCATCAAGGGTAGATTCCGATTCCTTTTCTGCAGTTTTATCAGCTTCCATTGTGTCTGTTGTTTCAACTTCCTTTTCATCTTCTTTCGCTAGATCTAAATTTTCTGCTTTCTTATCTTTTTCGTTTTCACTTTTACTATCTTCATCTTCTCCACTCTCATTTTTCTCTTCTTCAATATTATCTACGTTTCCTATTTCTTCATGCTTTTTCCCTTTGTCTTCCACTTCGCTGTCTTCAACCTCTTTGGTTTCCTTTCCTTCATCTTCTGTAGCTTCCTTTAAATTTTCTTCGTTTGTATCCTTTTCATCTGTACTCGCATCAGGGGCTTGCCTTTCTGTTCCATTGTTAACATGTTTCGAGTTCTCGCTGTTTTCTACTTTATTTTGCTCGTCTTTCACTTCTTTATCTTTTTCAGTTTCATTGTTGTCTACTTCTGAAGTATTGGACTCATCTTCATCATTTTCTTCCTTATCGGCACTATTTCCCTCTTCAACCGCAATTTCTGCAGTTTTCGCATTTCCTTCCGTTTGGTTCTCTTCCGGATCATTTTCGCTCTTCGCCGCATCGCCTTTATCACTTTCTTTAGCGACTTTTTCTTCAGGCTTTTCATCAGATTTATCTGTTTAGTATTGCAGTATTGTAATGTGGTGGCTGGTTTTTAAATACCAATTTTGAATACCATTGTCTTTTACCTTTAATTTCTTCCGCTTCAGGTTTCACATCTTCACTTTCTGTTTCTTCATTTACATTTTCTTCTCCATCAGATTTCTTTTCTGTTTCTTCCGTCTAACTTTTAATGAATTGTTACATGGCCAGGTTTAATGTGGAGGTAGAGGTAGGTAAAAATTGCAATGAAAGGAAAGATATGTACAAATTTAGTTACGAAAAATGTGGCAATGAATGATCAGCGGGCCCTTTCCAAAGTATTGCGGATTCAATTCTTTAGGAAATGCTCTTGCACTTACAGTTACTCACAGAAGTATTCGTTGTTTAGTTTTTTCACGGTATTCAAAATGTCTCCCATTGTAAATTTGTTCCTTAATTTTTATTTAAATTGCTGCCATTCTATAACAAAAACCATATAAATCAATATTGCAAGCTTTCTGCAAAATTCGCAAAAATTCAGCGAGACAGATTTTTACAATTGTTTAAGTTTGCAGTTTTGTAGTCTATTAAATTTTAAATTAATAAAGGTTAAGTTTTAAGTGTCTAGGCAGTATCGTTGATTTTTTTTCGCTGACAGTATCCCCCGTTTTCTTCCATATAAAAATATTTTTTTTATGCTTTGCATAGTAAGCAGTAAGCCCTAGCCACTTAAAACTTGCACTTTATTATGTTGAAATTTAATGGGCTACACAATTGCATACTCCAAAATTCTGATTAAAAAGTCTGAAATTTCGATGGCCATTTTTTTGAAACTCGCTGCATTTTTGCAAATTTTGTAGTAAGCTTGCTACATTGATTTATACGGCTTTTATTATAGAATGAGCTATATTTTAAATAAATATTAACGAACCAGATTTATAATGGAAGACATTTTGAATATCGTGGAAAACCTAAACAACGAATACTTCTATGAGTAACTGTATATAAACACACAAAGAAAATTTGTTATGGCCCGGGGACGAGACAATGTTTACCAGGCAATTTTTTTTTAGGGTTATTGTAACTGAAATTGTTGTCCATTTCGTGACGTCTTTGCAAGCATAGCAAATAATAAATAAAATAAAAAAATGTTTTTAGTATACATCGCTTTTATAAATGGACTTAAAATTAGAAAATAATATTTCTCAGTCCCATAGAATTTGTTTTGATAGTTTTTGATTTTGAAATTTTAGCAAAAGTCATTATAAACCATTTATGAGATTGAAAACGAAGAACGTAGAGCGCATGCAATACAAAGCATTAGATTTAATTGACAATAGTCAAACTACATAACATAGACCTAAAATTTATACAGAGAAAGTACAAATTTGAGATCGATTTTAAGCGGTCGTTATTCATATATCCACATACATACATACATATATTACCCTTCATATCAATTCAGGTCTATTACATGCGCCCCACGCTTTTCAATTTCAATATCATAAATGGTTTATAATGACTTTTGCTTTATGATAAATATGATGAAAATATGATATTAATATTTTTTGTAGATGAGGAGGGTTTTTATAGTTTCGAAATTGGTTGAAAATTGTCGTTTAAAAATTTTCTTATTTGTGTATAGGTTGTTTTTGCAACCTATTCAATTTAAGCTGTTTCGCATTTTGTTTTACTTCGTATTTGAAATTAAACTTTGAAAGAAAGATAAATATGTAGATGACAAGTAATAACGATGAAGACAAAAAAAGAAAGCAATAGTGAAGATAAAGACGAAAATGGAGATAAAGGCGCAAATGGAGACAATGAGACATACATAAGAATTAGGGTAACTGAATTGAAATTTTCCGATAGGAATCGAAATAAAATCAGCCATAAAGGTTACTGAAATTTATCGAATCATCGAACTTTATAATTATCGAAATTTATCCATGCTTATTAGGTTATCGCAACGTATCGAATTATTCAAACTGATCAATGTTTATTGAGTTGTCGAAATTTATAGACACAGAAACTTAGTTGTCCAAATTTACAGATAGTTATCGAGCTAGAAAAACGTGTGGGATTAACGAAATTTGTCAAGTTAAAGAAATGTATCAAGCTATCGATGTTTATTGAATTATCATTATTTATAGACTTAACGAAATTTATCGAGGTGTCGTAATGCATGGAGTTCTTTCAACTTACAGAGTTATCGATAATTATTGATCTACTGAAATTGGTTGGTTCAACGAAGCGAAGTTTATGGAATTTTCAAAATATATCGATTTATCGAAATTTCAAGGTTATATAAGCTTATCGATTTATCACTACTTATCGAATTTAATCGTCTTAACAGAGTGTAACGAGTCATCAAAATGTTTAGATAGTTTTCGAAAAATGTGGAGATGTCAAAAGTAAAAATTTATAAAGGTATCCAAAGTTTTTACATTTTTGAGTTATCGAAATTTATCGAGCCTTCGAATTTTACAGTTATCGAAATTGGTCGAGTTAACGAGTTTGTTGAGTTATCGAATTTTAGTATTCGTGAAATTCATCGAACTATCGATATGTATAAAATAATTTCATCTAAATTAATTCCGCGTTCATAACAATAAATTTAATTATTAAACATCTCTTGCGAAAAACAGCATATTCTACTACTATAATTTTTACTTACTGATAACACTTTTGACCAACGAAACATCTTTTGAGAAAATTTTACTCTGAATTTGTTTTCCATTTACAGGTTGAAACTGATGATACTGACGAGTTTTTTTTATTGCTATCGCTTTGCTCAAGCGAGTTTGGAACTTTTTTTCGTGTGCATCATGATCAAGTTGAGAACAAAAAGCAAAATCAATTGTTCTGAAGGCATTTTTCGCCCATTCATAAAGAGCTTTAGGGCTATTTATATGATCACCAGTTACACGTTGCATACTTGCTTTATGCGCTAATCTTTTTACAGCCCCTCCGACACAATCGCAAGCTCCTTTGCCGTGGGACGTCGCAAGAAAATTCCATTCGGGTTCGATCGCGAAGTCATTTTTATGATAGCATAAATTCAAAAAGTTGAATTTGTTTTTGTACTGCGATCCAGCCCCATCGGAGAAGTAAAACAATTTTCTAACACTTCTACATCCAAATTTCAAAAATGCAAAAGCCTGACGATCTGCTGAAATCATGCACGTGCAGGTTCAATTCAAATCACCGCGTCCGCAAACAGCTCAGCGCGCTGGTGCGACAGAAGAGCGCATCGAGTGACAAAAAAATCGATATCTCGGAAACAGAGTAAAAGTACAAATATGTCTTTACAGTTTTTTAAAGTGTAGCATTTTTGCCACAATTGTGCAGTATATTTATTCCAAAACAGCGTGAAGAAAGCATTCAAAATTGCATTTTTTTTTTAAGTTATTGCAAAATTAATTGTTTAAAAAAATTATGCGTCCATTCCACATTTAAAAGATAGTACACACACTACTTAACTTGTATTAAAAATTTCATTGCATTATCTATTGTGGTTTAAAAGAAAATTAAAAATTATTTTTTAATTTGAGGGTGCTAAAAACTTTAATTGTTAATAAATTTGACAAAAATTGGAATTTTAACGAAATATTCACATTGCGACAGAAGCATAACATATACTTTACAATGAAATATATATTTCCTGAATCCGTGATTTAACGAAATGTTCGAGGACCACTTGACATGGCTTTACTCATATGGAACACGTTACTTCCTTTTCACCCTCGGATTTTCGAAAAAATGCAAACACCTCCTTTTTACGAAATTTTGTATAGGTGGAGTATTTGCCACGTCCTCCACTCTCGTGGGCGGAAATTTATCATCGGATTTCGATGAAATTTAGTGTGTACTAGAGATGGGCGCGTGGGTGATTTTGGCTCACGTTGATGGTTTTGTAAATAACGCACAATCATGTTATTTTTTATACAAATTTCAGGTACATAGTGCTTATCATAGGTGCATGCATCAACTCTTGTGCAGAATATGGTCAGATGAACGCATGCCCGACGACTGGAATTTAAGTGTGCTCTGCCCAATCCACAAGAAATGTGACCCCGCCATTCGCGCCAACTACCGCGGGATCAGCCTTCTAAGCATAGGTTACAAGGTCTTATCGAGCGTATTGTGTGAATGACTGAAGCCCACCGTCAATGAACTGATTGGGCCTTATCAGTGTGGCTTTAGACCTGGCAAATCCACCATAGACCAGGTATTCACAATACGCCAAATCTTGGAAAAGACCCGCGAGAAAAGGATCGACACTCACCACCTATTTGTCGACTTTAAAGCCGCTTTTGACAGCACTAAAAGGAGTTGCCTATACGCCGCTATGTCTGAATTTGGCATCCCCTCAAAACTCATACGGCTGTGTAAAATGGCGTTGAGCAATACCACCAGCTCCGTCAGAATTGGAAAAGACCTCTCCGAGCCGTTCGCCACAAAACGGGGTTTCAGACAGGGCGACTCCCTTTCATGTGACTTCTTTAATCTGGTGTTGGAGAAGATAATAAGAGCTGCAGAACTGAACCGCTCAGGAACAATTTACTATAAGAGCGTGCAATTGCTGGCTTATGCCGATGAAAACCGCGAAGTCTGTTCTGCCTTTTCCAAGTTGGATAGGGAAGCAAAGCGAATGGGTCTGGTGGTAAACGAGGACAAGACGAAGTATCTCCTGTCATCAAACAAACAGTCAGCATATTCGCGCCTTGGCACCCACGTCACTGTTGACAGTTACAATTTCGAGAAAGTAGAGAATTTCGTTTACTTGGGAACCAGCATTAACACCGATAATAATGTCAGCATTGAAACCAACGTAGAATCACTCTTGCCAACAAGTGCTACTTTGGACTGAGTAGGCAATTCAGGAGTAAAGTCCTCTCTCGACGTACGAAAACCGCGCTCTATAAGTCACTCATCATGCCCGTGCTGGTATATGGCTCAGAAGCATGGACAATGACAACATCCGATGAGGCGGCTCTTGGAGTGTTTGAGAGAAAGATTTTGCGGAAGATTTACGGGCCTTTACGCGTTGGCGACGGCGAGTACCGCAGACGATGGAACGGTGAGCTGTATGAGCTTTACAACGATATGGACATAGTGCAGCGAATTAAAATACAGCGGCTCCGCTGGCTTGGTCATGTCGTTCGAATGGACACCGACGCTCCAGCTCTGAAAGTATT